AGATATGCAGACTACTAGAGAGAATGTGGTAATGTGCGTGCGAGAGACTACATTTTTCTTATCTTACAATGGTTTGGAAAAGTAAAATTCTAGCTTCAGTATACGAGGTTTTTCATACAGTGTTTCTATATTATGTATGCCTATCTAGAAAGATTGTGAGGATAACGCAAAATATAATAAATGATATCTTTGAGGACAAAAAAAAAATTGTAATGGTATGTCTTACATTTAGCAATATTAATACAGGAATCTTTCTTTAGCCACATATACGTATATGAATAAAAGAAAGACTTTTTTGTATTATCAATATTGCTAACTGTAAGACATGTCATTACAAGGGCTGGCCAGATAGCTCAGTGGATTAAAGCACCTACTTACGTAAAGTACAGTGGCAGAGGTTCAATCCCTGGCATGCAGTGCTGGCCCCGACCCAGGGCACGCTGAGACTGCGACTAAGACTGGGCATGGTGGCACCCATGTGCTCCAGTAATCCCAGCACTTGGGAGGCTTAAAACAGAATCATGGACTGGGGAGATAGCTCAGTAAAATAAGTGCTTGCATGGCAAGCACAAGGGCCTGAGTTCAATCCCCGGTTCCGCCAAAAACAAAAAACAGAATCACTACCAAGTTCGATTTACTCTCTGAGACCCTGTAGATCCTGTAGACCCTGTACCAAATACATAAAAAAAAAAAAAAAAAAAAGAAAGAAATAAAAAATATTTGGGTTCTTGTAAATTTCTGTTGCTAAAATTTGTAAACTTAGGGGCTGGTGAGACGGCTCAGTGGTCTAAAGCACCTACTTAGAACAAGTTTAGCAAAACACAGGGACCGCGGTTCAATCCCCCAGCACCACATGCCAGCCAGCCCCACCCCCTGGTGGGCTGAGCTGGCCACACACACACACAAAACCATTTAAAAAATAAATTTGTAAACTTATATGTGAGTTCAATTTTGGCAGCAGAAAATCACATTATTTCAAATGTTTGGGCTGGGGAGCCTTTTTACCAAGATGGCATTGAAAGCAAAGAAGGTGAGCCCCTGCCCCTCCCAAAGCTGAAGCCAAAGCAAAAGCTTTGAAGGCTAAGGCGGTCATGCTAAAAGGCATCCACAGCCACAAAAAGAAGATAGGAACAGTCACCCGCCTTCTGCTGTCCCAAGAAACTGCGGCTCCGGAGGCAGCCCAAATGCCCTCAGAAGAACGCCCCCAGGAAAAACAAGCTTGACCACTATGCCATCATCAAGGTCCCCCTGACCAGAGTCAGCCATGAAAAAGATCAAGGTCAAATGTTTGGGCTGGGGATGTAGCTCAGTTGTATAGTGCTTGCCTAGCACGCACAAGGCCCCAAGTTCAATCCCCAGTACCACACACACACAGATGCTGAAGCATTTTATCTGAGCATAGTGATGTACACTACAAGAATGAGGGCAGCCTGGACTACATGGCGAGTTCAAGGCTGGTTGGACTGCATAGTCAGACAATGTTTCCATTAAGGGGGAAAAAAAAAACAAACCTTGAAAGGAAAAAACTCTGAATAAAAATTTTAGGGGTTCTAATACTCATGAATCATGTTCCTTATTTTGTCTTTCCTTCTTTATTCAATTGTAGAACACAGGACTATAGTCACAAAAGAAGCCAAATAAGTACAATGAGTAAATGAGTGACTGAAACTTTGAAATAAAAAGTAGGGGGCCGGGAGATGGCTCAGTAGAATAAGCGCTTCCCTGGCAAGCAGCATAAGCACCTGCCTGGAAAACGCAAGTTTCTTGAGTTCAATCCCCAGTTTAAAAAAAAAAAAAAAGAATCTAGTCAAAATACAAAACAAGGGGCTGGTGAGATGGCTCAGTGGTCTAAAGCACCTACTTAGAACAAGCTTAGCAAAGCAAAGCAA